TATCAGATTTGTAGTCCCCACACTGCAGATATATTAGAATCTGTCCTTAAATTACAGCCAAACCCATTTACACAGTAACAGATAAAAATCTTTAGATAAATCAAACATTACCGCCACATATCTGACTCAATAACAATTAAAACAACTATTTTCATTCGTTTCAGATATAACTATTCGCATACTTTTATTATAATAAACTCAAATTTCAATATTCACCATTGTTCCTCTCCAAGTAACCTTCCCTCCAAGCACGGAGCAGCTGGCGTGCTTGGTCTCGCAATGAATCCTGGGATATCAGAGGATACATCGGACCCATCTTTTTTCAAATTGGGCAAAAAGAAGGACGCATTTTATGGCAGCATAACAAGGAGTCTTGAAACCTGACAAGACCTCGGCGCCGTGCTTTGACGTAATCGTCCTTTGAATCTGGCCTTCTAAGGATGCGTCCCATATATATATATATATATATATATATATATAATTTGTTGGCCAAGAACACAGTATAATGAACATTATGCATCAAAAACTGCCTCACAACTTTTCCAAGGGGAAAAGCCTGTGAAATGATTAGCTTGCCTCAGTTGAAAATAATGAGGGACAGATTAACAATCCATTAGAAATCAATGAAATATTTAAGGTCTCTTTTGAAAGCCGGCTGGGCTTAAGAGGTTAAAATGCGGTTTGGATTCCCACAATCCACTGTGGCATTATCAGTTTTAACTCACACAGGTAGGCATTTTTAATCTGCAAAAAATATGTTGACCCTCTTTTAAAAAGTCCTAGGGCTATTGACAGTGTCGACACAGACATTTTGAAGGGCAGAGGCAGAAAGAAAAACAAGGGTACCTATAGCGGTTCCTGACCAATGTAGAGCGCACTTCAGAATTACTTTACTACATGTTTAAGCTGACAAGTGGCCACTTTAAAATATGTCCTAACTCCAGAGAGGGGACTTTACACAGTTTTGACTCCCAAGATGGCACTTTAGTATAGGTCTAGGCTCCTCAGAAGGTACTGTAACATTTGTTTTGGCCCCCAAGGATGCACTGTACTGTGCATTTTAGCCCCAAAGAAAGCACCTTAGCAGGTGCTTTGGTCCCCAAGAGCTCACTTTAAGATGCATTTAAGCTTGAGAGAACACTTTAGCACTGTTTCTTTTTTTTTCAGTGACAAAAGTGTGCTCAGTATGTGACGAGTCATCCCAGTCTGGCTGAGCAGAGGGGGAGGGGAGGCAGTCACCCACACGGTAAAAGGAGGGAGGGGGAGACAAGAGAAAGACAGGAAGGGGCCACAAGGAGAGATGACATAAATGTTTTATTTTATTTAGTAGATACGTCTTGAAAAATGTAAGTTTCATATGGTCAAGTTTTTCTATTTAANTATCTATCTATCTATCTATCTATCTATCTATCTATCTATCTATCTATCTATCTATCTATCTATCTATCTATCTATACCTGCTATTTAAATTAAGGAGGGGTAGATTCCTCATTAGCCCCCCGTGAAAAGAGCAGAGGTTATTCTAATAACATCATTGTAATAAACCTGAAAAGTATATTGCTAGAGGAAAAACATTATATTTTTATGTTTGGGTGACAGCTCTACATCTATGTTTCCTCAGCAAACAATTAAATAAAATGAAAATAAAATCGATATGACCTTTTGTGGAGTGGGGCTTTATTAGGAAAAGCCTTGCTTTCAGTGTTAAACTGTGAACTTGCCTATCACAACATGGCGGCCGCACGGACGTTCAGAGAGAAGCTAATGTGGCTCCTGACGCATGTACGTCTCTGCCTGTTGGGCCTCCGCTTTGACAGTGCGCATGCGCAAACGGTGACCCCGCCTCCTCCAGTCTCTTTCAGCCCAGAATGGCGGCTCTTTTGGAATCTGTTTTGTTGCGGAAAGTGGACCCTGATAAGGTTGTAGGCTGGTTGAAAAACGTTCAGGTAGGCCTAAAATAGTTTATGCCGGTATCTTAGCTAGGTGGGCTGCCGTTACGCCCTCACGCGGGGTACTATTTTAGATGTCACAGCCCGCAAGTGATTGTAAACAAATCTTTTAGCTTTTGAGCTAGCTAGTCACTGTTACTGTGGTTTATATACGCAAATTAAGAGGTTGCAAACATCCCATAGCCCTCAGTGAGGTATTTAACTGTGAATTAGGGTTAAATATGCATATACATGCTTATAATATATATATATATATATATATATATATATATATATATATATATATTACATAGGGGTATTTGGAACTAGGAGATATCAACTTGTATGATCAACCTAGAAGAAATAGTAAAATGTCACATTTTCGGATCCATTTTTGTCTTTTCAACAGGAGAATGAGAACCTGTTTGATGATCCTTCACTGCTTATCCAGAAACAAGAGTTTGTCCCTTTCCTCTTAAACTTCCTGAGAGAGCAGAGCAGTGAAGCTCTCACTCATGGACCTGCTACACCAGCCAAGACCCCCAGCCGCCCCAGACCACCCGCTCAGACTCGAGGATTCCCTGACAAGTCGGGATGCAGGTCTGCTGGGAGTGGGTCTGGGTCTCGTAGTGCCAGTCGTGTGCAGCTTTTCTCCCCCGCTCCCTCTGTATCGCCTGGGAATGAATCAGATGCTGCAGGTCAGTCGGGTTTGAGTGGAGTCAGTGCCTTCAGCAGCCCTCCCTGTTCTACAGCGTGGAGTCCAGCCTCCAGGCCATCAGGCTCTGAGCGCAGGTATGGCCAGAAAACCCGTCTGGGTGACTACATGGTTTCTCCCACTGAGCTACAGCATAGCCCCAGCTTCCAGCCACACAAAGGGCGCAGGAAGAGTGGTGGCAACACACCAGGTGGAGGGCAAGCAAGACATGGAGGAGGGCGAGGAGGTCCTCACACCGAGGATCCTGGATGGAGGCGGTCAGCAAGAGGGAGGATAAGTGAACAGGTTTCACTATCAGCTCCAGCTCATCTAAATTTCAACAACTTAGAAGACTTCCCTCCTGTTGGCTCATCACCCATTCTCCCAGGGTGAGATAAATACTACTCCTCAATGAGTTACATTTGGCATTTAGGTGTGTTTTGAAATGGCTTACTTTCTGTTACACTCCAGGACATCCAAGCCATCCAGAAGGATAAACCCAACGCCGGTCAGCGCGGATAGACCCAACTCAAAACCAAAGACCTGTTTCACATCCACTCCTCTCCAGAAAGTTTCCAGCCCTCCGCTAGGAGTGGAGCCGCTTGAGGGAACCGTGACCGTGGGCAGTCCTATGAGCCTGAAGGAGGAAAGGGAATTACTGAAAAGAGAAAAGTAAGCTCACGTGTCGGAAGTTAAATTAAGAGTTTTTCCTTGTACTCATATACTCTATCCTGCTTTATCATTTACGAAAGGTGTGTTTTTTAATACAATGACTTTCCTATTTTTTTCCTTAAATGCAAAATATTTACATTTTGTCTTACAATTTTGGTATAAATGCTTCTGAAGGTGGGTCGCTTTGTCAGCTAAAGGCATGTTTAAGAGTTTAAACTTCAGTTAATTCAGTTAGTTGGCGATTATTTCAATAATCGATTAAACACAATTAATCTGATTAATTGTTTCAGCCCTACTCATTTTAAAACGTTATTACTAGGGATGCACAATATTGGGATTTTGGCCGATATCCGATATGCCGATATTTTAAAACTCATGTAGCCGATAACCGATATCGATACCGATGTTAAAGCTGGA